AACAGGAGAATGGCATCTGGCGGCGTCGCATGAATCACGAGTTGTACCAAGTGTATAACGGTACGGATATAGTGAAGCTTATAAAACACGGCAGACTACGGTGGGCTGGGCATGTAGTGCGGATGCCGGAAGAACGACAAGCAAATATTATATTCAGCAGAGAACCCGGTAGAGGTCGTCGACTCCGGGGTAGACCTCGGACACGTTGGCTATTTGCAGTTGAGGAGGACATCAGGTCGCTAAACGTTCATGGCGACTGGAAGCGATTGGCTCAGGACCGAGTCCAATGGAGAAGAGTACTTCGTTCGGCGTTGAATCAACCTGGCGATTCGTAGCCCATCAAGTATCAAGTAAGTATAACATCAACTTCAGCATTAACTTAGCTCTGAGCTCGCACCTTAAAACGTCACGTGGTTTATGGACGGTCCCTAAGAATACCAATCAGTTTTGTCAGCTAACATATGTGTGTAGCTGAATCGATCCATTGAATGAAAAACGTAGGTAATCGAACTTTTTTAATAATTTATATGCTTTTATAGCTTTTGGACCACCCTAAGAGCAAAAAATACACAAGTAAAGTTAATTTCAATATCAATAATGATTTCAGAACCCCCTAATAACCCTTTTAATCAAACTCTCCAATCAACTTACCCATCGTGATAGCTTATTATTGATTACTTTTTACTTAACCCAAAATGAGCCGATTTTCATAATTTAGAACACGGAATTTTCTCACAACACAGCGGCAGTGTGAACACTAAGTTACATAGTTTTACTGATGTTTCTCGACAATTTGATATTCAACGGAGTTAAGCACTGATTGGTATTTGGGTAAATCACGGTACATATAAACTTCCTGATTATGGTGTTCCTCGAAATCCCGATCATTGTGAATGCTGCAGTGGAAAATCCTACGCCAATTAGTGAAAAAAATAAGCAGCGTCTCAGCACTCTATGAAACTTCGAGTTTAATTTAAATTATTCGCTAGGGACAAATAAACCAGGGTTGTGCTTAAATTCGGTCATTTGATCTTGCATGGTGCCATCTTTTTCTCAATGATTTGTAGCAGTCACATACGGACCTCAGTCTACGTATAAAGAATTGTTCTTTGAAGACCATCATCATCAATAAAATATAAATATAAAAATATGCTTTAGTCAGGGCCCAAAGAGTTTCGATTGGTCTGGCCTGGGGACAGTTTGCCGGATTTTTCTCCTTGGGTACGAATTGGACCTGGTTGGCTTTATACCAGGCTACAGTGTCCTTGGAGTTATTGTAGAGAGTAGTGGTCTGTCTGTCTGTCTTTGGTAGTGGTTAGATAAGAACTAATTTTATTTAAGACGTTTATAATTAAGTATAAATGTCAAGGCTTGCTTCGATTACTAACAGTTTCGCTTCAACACTCCTCCTCAAGCCGCAGATATTCCCATCATCGTACGGCTTTCTTCAAACTTTGTCCTCTGCAATGGTTTGACTCACGTTCGTCCGGATTGGATACCCAATCCGCGTCGCAGTAGCCGACTATGCTTGAATCGGCATGCTTGTTGTTGACCAACTTCAAGTTTGAAGTTCCACGTAAGTAGCGCAGAACATGCTTCACCGCATTCCAGTGCTTGATAACTGGATTATTGTTGAACCGGCTGAGGGTATTCAGCGCACAAATTTTATAAAAAATATAATAGTGAAGAAACTTTGGCATACTATTTAGACATTTGCGATCAGTTAAATTTGGCCGTGAATATGGCATTTGAGGAGTATAATTTAAAAACTGAACTTGAAATAAATTCTTGTCCTAGAAAATTCTTCAATTATGTGAAAACCAAATTAAAATCTGATAATTTTCCCTCAAAGATGCATTTGGACGATAGGATAGGTGAGAACTCGGATGATATATGCAATTTGTTTGCAAATTTCTTCCAAGAAATATATACTACGTTTTCAGAAGAGGACCATATCCATATCCATATCATATCCAGAATTTTCAAGTGACATCAGCGTAAGTCAAATCAAGGTTCATGATATCTTAAAGGGTTTAAACAATTTAGATGCATCTAAAGGTCCTGGCCCTGACGGTGTTCCGCCAGTTTTTATGAAAACTTTAGCAATTGAACTTACTGCTCCATTATTTTGGATTTTCAATATGTCACTGGAATCCGGAAACTTCCCTAAAATATGGAAAAACTCGTTTTTAGTGCCTATCTTTAAATCGGGTAAAAAATCCGACATACGTAATTATCGTGGTATAGCTATTATCTCTTGCATTCCGAAACTTTTCGAGGCGATTGTAAATGAAAAACTCTTTCTTCAAATTAAAAACAGAATAACTACTATGCAACATGGCTTCTTGAAAGGCCGTTCAACAACTACGAATTTGCTCGAATTAATTAATTATTCCTTGAATGCAATGGATAACGGAAACCATGTAGAAGTGTTGTATACAGATTTCAGCAAAGCGTTTGATCGAATTGACATACCCATGCTTCTTTTTAAACTTCAAAAAATGGGAATTCATTACGCACTCCTCAAGTGGCTTGAATCATATTTAACTGACCGTCATCAAATAGTAAAATACAAAGGAAAGATATCAAATCCCGTTGATGTCACTTCAGGAGTTCCTCAAGGCTCCCATTTAGGACCACTTTTATTTATTCTCTTCGTCAATGACATATCTTTCATTATTAAGAAATTGAAAGTTTTAATATATGCTGACGACATTAAACTTTTTTTGGAAATAAAAGATGCCAAAGACATCATCACATTCAAAGAGGAAATTCAAATATTCCATACTTGGTGTCAAAAAAGCCTGCTACAATTAAATATAAAAAAATGTAACTCCATTACCATTAGTAGAAAACAAAAGCTACCTGATATAACAGTCACTTTAGGAAAACATATCGTAGAAAAATGTGATAGAGTCAGGGATCTAGGTGTTATTTTGGACTCAAAACTTACTTTCTCCGATCATTATAACACAATTATTAACAGAGCTAACAACATGCTTGGTTTCATAAAACGTTTCTGCTATAACTTTCACGATCCGTATACGATAAAAACATTGTACATTGCTTATGTAAGATCGATATTAGAATATTGCAGCATAGTTTGGTCACCTTTTTCAATCACACACGAAGAAAGAATAGAGTCCGTTCAAAAGCAGTTTCTATTGTATGCACTCCGCAAGTTAGGTTGGACTGTATTTCCTCTGCCATCTTACACAGCTCGGTGTATGCTCATAAATATCCAAACATTAAAAGAACGTCGTGAATTTGCTATGATTTCTTTCGTAAACGATATCGTATCACATCGAATTGATTCAATAGAACTATTGTCATCCTTAAATTTATATACACCATCTAGGCATTTACGAAACAGAAATATATTTGCTACAAATCGTCATCGTACGAATTATGCCAAATTTGGACCCTTGAACCAAATGATGGATACATATAATAAGCACTGCGATAACATTGACTTTACAATGACAAAAACTAAATTAAAGCAATATTTTAATTCGTCGCATAACGTCAACTAGAAGTAATGTTTTAACTTTTTCTTAAGACATATTATAAAAAATATAAACAAAGACAAAATTGTAAAAATAGCACTTAAGACAACAATTGTAAAACGGTCTACACTGATTGACGACAAATAAATAAATAAATAAATAAGTTCGTTTTTGTTTGCTAATCTTGTTAAAATAATATACATCATCATCATCAAGTTCACATTACTTCGCTATTAGAACATTTTAAAGGAACAGTCCTACTTTAACAGGTGGTGCCTCTCCTGTGTCCAAAATACTCACTCTCAAGTCCACGAAAAGCAAGTCCGATATCGCATTCGCGATTCATCGGATTATGCTGACGATGAGAAACGTGATCCTAGAGCAATCGGTAATACAGCATCTTCGAAATAATCTTCTTACACGACGTTACAATAACCAGGTACGTCAGACATTTCTTGTAGCATACTTCACCCAGCAGCCTAAAACACATCGCCATGATCAAAGTTAATCACGACTCCTGGATCATCAAGAAAGTGTTCAAGAAGTTTTTAAATCTCCGGAAGAAAGTCTAGAAAATTTTAAAGGATATCATAGATTTATAGGTAGTTTCATTATATTCAGGGAACTACCGAATAATTCGCTGATGATCAGATAAATTCAGAGCAGTCCCATGAAACTTCAGGAAAATTTTAAGAACTTTCCAGTAGTTCTGAGGAATTATGAAATATTTCAAGAATTTCTGGTATGTTCCGAAAACTTCAGCGATATTGCGGAATCTTCATGGAAGTTACGTGAGTATCAGGATAATTTGCTGATCAGTAGACAATTTTGCGAACTTCAGAGAAGCTCTGAAAACTTTGGGGAAGGCCATAGAATTTCAGGAAGATAAGGGGTAAGCTATGCGTCATCAAACTTTTCAAAACTTCAGGAAAATCAAAGGAACTTCGAGGAAGATTTAGGAACTTCATGGCAATTCAATAAACTTCAGAAAAAAGGGCGCTTTTACAACATTTTTAAGCATATTTGGGAATTTCAGATAGCTTCAAAGAAGTTCAGAGAGCGGTGCTGGTGGAGTAGTGGTTAGCGATATTGCTTCTCACTAAAAAGGGCCTGGGTTCAATCCCAGTCGGTGCCGCCGGGATTTTCTGAATCTTTGAATTCCTAAATAGAGATAATAATAATAATAATGAATCTTTGAATCTCTGATCACGCGATCCTTCAGAAGGAAAGTAAAGCCGTTGAGTTGATGGGTTGATAGGAAGGCTCCAGGTGGGGGAGCTGACTTCCTGGCGTCGGTAGCATTGGTATTCAGTACGGAAAACAAATCAAGGAAAAAAAAAAGCTCAAAGATCTTTCGGGCAGTTCGAATGACATCAGGAAAACGATGAAGAGAATCGATCAAAGCAGATAGTAGGCATTTAAAATGTTCATCGAGAATTATGCAATTGGCAACAAAATTCATTCTGCAAAATGTTCATCGATGAATCACCAATACTATATTTTCTCCACCTTCAACCACAAACCCTGCTTGGGAGAAAGGATGAAATTCGTTGGCTCAAACTCGAGCGGAATGGTCGATTTAGGTCCAGTCGAGAAACGGAAACTCTTCAATAGTAGTGCTAATCCGATACGGGCCTGCATCATCCCGAAGCGCAATCCAATACAGATGCGAGGCCCTTCACCAAATGGAAGCCACGCATATGGATGTCGTTTGCTGACTTCTTCCGCGGTGAACCTATCCGGGTCAAACTTCTCCGGATCCGGGAAAATCTCCGCATCGTGTTGGATTGCGTGGACAGGCAACATCACAAAGGTTCCAGCTGGCAGCAGAGTGTCCGTATCTGGGACCCGGTATTCGCTAGAGGTTGTTCTGAAATGTATCGGCACGGGAGGATATTTGCGGAGGGTTTCTGTAATATTTAAGATCATTTATCAGGGAGACACAGGTTTGAAAAAAGTGCATCTTTACCGTTGATGATTTGATCGATGTACGTCATTTCCATGATTGCCTCGTAGCTCATCACTCCATTGTGTTTTTCAAGGACTTCTCGAACACAGCTTCTTCCTTTCTCCTGAACATCTTGATTCAGGGCTAACTCATAGAGAGCCCAAGTCATCGTTGTCGATGAGGTTTCAAAGCCCGCAATGAAGAATACGTACGCTTGAGCTGCGATTTCGTTGAACGTTATCCGATCGGATTCCGAAGAGTCATCATTCATCATAGCGATCAATAAATCCATAAAGTCGTTTCTCCGGACACCGTTCTTCGAGCGATAGTCGATTGTGTCCCGTACCACGCCCATGAAGAACTCTGACACTTCCGGACGAATTTCTTTCACTCCTAAGAATCGAGCCAAGTTCGGACTAATCATTTTGAATGCATCCTTCAACGCACTTCTCGGTGCTTCAAAGTGCTTCCGTCCCATTTCTCGGAACGTCGAGTTCGGTTCCCTCATGGTATTACACTCAATTCCGAACGCACACGTGCCAATCGTGTCCGTCGTGAATCTGGATAGCAAATCCTTCATCTCCAGTTCGCTTTCCTGGGACACTTTCTCGTCCAAATAGTCACTAAATTGCTTCCCGGCAGCGACCATCGTTGGGTACATCATTTTCATTTTGCCTGACGTGAAGGTTGGTGATATTTTGGCTCTCAAGTTACGCCATTTTGCACCCTCCAAGCTGAACAGATGTGCCGAAATGGGATCATCTTTCTCGTTGTAGTACACTCCACGGTTTTGAAAATGTTGGAAATCCTTCACCAAGATACACTTTATCAGTTCCAAGTCTAGGACAACGGCGATTGGTTTGACAATCATCATAATTCCCATCAGCGGGTATTGGCCCTTGAACTGTGTGTACCATGTTCGGAAATGTTCTACCGGATGGATCGATTTGTCCATGAATCCAATTTTATTCGATAGATATGGCACATTGCGGTCGGGCCAAAAGCGAAATTGCCGGCGCAAACGATAGAACCCGTAGGTAAGTAGGAGAACTGCGATAAATGCTAGCAACTGCTGCATGATGTCCATCGCTGACCGCAGGTTAGTGTTAACTGGTGGGGTGGGGCTTTGTTTATGATATTTGCAATTATTGCACTGGTGGGTGACCGTATGCACAATACTGTTTATTTGCTTAGAATATTCAACTGTATGGGAGTTTTTTTCTCAATATCACAGCACACAAATGATGATTTCCTATTGGAATGACGCATTTATCGCCGTGCCTGTTTGTTTGATTCAACGTTTGATTTGGTATTGTAGTGTCTACCATCACACGCACACTGCTTTGAATCGATTTCACGATAATGAATGAACGAATGAATGAACCCCGACTGACTGATGCGGATTTGGATGCTTCTCTGTGTTAGTGAGCCCGACCCGCTTGAATCATTTTTTTTCCCGAAGCAATTGCACGATTCAGATTGCAATGTTGACATCTGGACGGTAAGTTGTTTTGAAGCTCCACCTTTTTAATTCTCATCTCATTTTAGGACAACAGTTGATGCTGTTGGATGTCGTGCAAGACATGTGTTAATCCTAAGAGTAGCATATCAAGGTAAAGAAACAGATAATATTTTATTAAAAGCAATTGAGATTGAAATGTGATGTTCTTGGTTTGCCAAATCTATGCTTTGTTTGACATTTGACAAATGTGTTAGTCGGTCATTGATCCTTGCTTTTTATTGCAATGATCTGTGTAGTAAAGTGCATTTATAATATCGGTTCCCAAAAGCTTAATATTTCCAAAACAAAATGTGATCCAGCCGAATGTTTTGCTTATCTAATCTTCGATAATTCACGTTTATTTTTATTTTGGTACTGGCTAAAAAGGTGTTTAACATGAAGCATGACAAGCTAAATTCCTTTGTTGAAGCTGTTTTTATTCTGAAATTATGACACACGGCGAAGATTCGGTAACTGCATCCTTCATGGAGAAACAAAACAGCTGAAAAAGGAGATAAAAAGTATCATAATTAAATACTCTCCTCACTACAGTTTTGGATACAATGTTATTCTAATTGCTGAATACTTTTAACTTAATCATGAAGTAATTTGAACTCAAACAGTAGTCTTGGGAGGGTTTTCAGTTTTGTTTACTTTGTATCTTAATTTTGAGTTGTTTCGATGTCCGTGCTTTGAAAGTATCCAAAATCACGTGTTGTAATTGTATTTCGTTTTGGATGAAAATTCACATCGTGTGCCATGTTTGTTTCGTTTCGAGTTTGTCGCGAGCTTTGTCCTTTGCCGTAAAATTTCGCAAATTCTTGTGAAGGCAAGTAGTGAATTAACAAAAATAATTATCTTGGAGCACCACTGGACCTACGTACTGGATGATATGGTAAGTTTGAGTTGTCCATTAGAATTTAATAAGTAAAGTTTTTTTTTAATTATTATAGCCATTGTCCTTTCCGAACCAGCGGATTGCGGTGTGTAGATCTGAGATGGAAGTGTCCATCTATAGAAGACCAAAGGACATTTATTAGGAGCACAATATGGGAATCTACAATTTCGAATGAAGCAAGGTATAGTTTCACTGCCTGGTATGTTTAAAAATAATCCTTTACAATTATAACAGAAACTAATTCTAAATATCTGTTCAATTACAAACTTTGCAGAATCTGAAACTTTAAGACGACACGCGATGTCATATAAAAGAGCAAGTACCATTCGAAGTCCACCAACGGGTTGGACCTGGACCAAAGACGACCAAATGAGCAGAACAATTGTGGATGAGAAACGTCAACGGAGATGTTTCTATAATGGTTTTAATAGTATGTAATTCATTTAATTGTTTTATATGAATAATACAATGTGTGTGATTGATAATGGAGCACAGTTTTAACATTATAGAAAAACAATTAAAGATTAAGTTTCGACAAAATTTACTGAAAGGAACATATGATTTTCAGTATTTTTACCAAGCTATCACTCTCTATGAAACTGTTAGATTTTACTTAAAACGTTGACTTTACCAAACATTCAAACTTAGAAACTCTACAAAGAACTTAATTTTGTCTTGTTGCACGTAGATGTCCAGATGGGTACAAAAGACTTAATTTTGAGTATATTCGTTTCTCCGTTTTTATCGGAAGACAGCGTATTCATTATGATTCACATTTATTACGAACAGACCGTCCAAATTTGCCACAAACATAATGAAAAGAGATGACTTATAGTTTTGAAACATTCGTTTGAAGAGCTTGGAGTTAACAATTAAGTTAAAGTGATGTTAAAAGAATTATGGTACATATCATAATTTATCCCAATTACCCTGCATAATATGTAATAACAACACGAATGATTTTCTGTCAGAGTCTAAACGACACAGATGAATGTTTCAATGTGAATCATTCAAAAACACTTCTTGAATATACTTGTTGGTCTCTTAGTGATCAACGGATCTTCGAAATTTATTGAACTACCCTCATAGGTTCTTTGATTTGTCTTACTGATCGCGGAGCATCCCTGAAGTTCTCTGAATTTTCCTGAAGTTCTTGGTACTGCCCATAAGATGTCTGTAATTTCCGAAAAATCTCCAGACCTAGCTTCTCTGAGGTACTTGGAATTCAAATTTGTCATATAAGTGAGGTCATATATGACCCCAACAAAGAAATTGCTGCATTACAGATTGCTACTCCCTACAGCAAAAAGCAGAACAAGTACGGGTTCAAAGGGTTAAAAGTCCCGTAACTTTACTGAAGTTAATATAATTACTGTTGTTGTTCAGCACAGTTCCTTGATATTCGTTGATGTTTCCATAATTATCTTTAGTTTTGAAAACTTTTTCCAGAACTTCTCTGGACATCCATGATTTTTACTTAAATTCTCGGAATATTATATAATCTGTTATGAAACTTCCTGCAACTTTCCTTCAATTAATGGAACGGCTGATCGTACTTCCCAGAGTATAAATAAATTTCCTAAAAATCTCCAATCTTTTCAGAAGTTTACTGATCTTCGTTAAGGTTCCTGATATTTTGTGAAATTCTCGAAACTACCATGAAAATCAAGGAATTCCCCTTAAATCTGCTCATAATGTTTTGATGTTCTTGTTTCTTTTTAAAATGTTAATGAAGCTCTTGGATCTTCGAAATTGATTGAACTACCCTCATAGGTTCTTTGATTTGTCTTACTGATCGTGGAGCATCCCTGAAGTTCTCTGAATTTTCCTGAAGTTCTTGGGACTGCCCATAAGATGTCTGTAATTTCTCAAAGATCTCCAGACCTAGCTTCTTTGCGGTACTTGGAATCCACATTTGTTTTTAAGCTCTCTCTAATTCTCTCAAGTTCTCTTGACTTCTCTGAAGTTTTCTGTATATCCCTGAAGTTCTCAGAACTTCTTGAATGTTTCTGCAGTTTTCCTGAAGCAAATGGAACCACCTTGATGTTCTCAAATCTCCCCTGAAGTTTCCTAAATATATCAGAGTTTTGTTAAGTTATTGGGACTGCCCTTAATATCTATAATATTCCTGAAGTTCACGAGGCTTCTCTGAAGTTCTCACTAATATATTGATGATGATCTCACTAATTTACTACTAATTTAACTGATGATGTCCGGGGATCCACGTAAAGACGGTTGAAGCTGGGGCTTGTATCCAGGGGTGGCTCGGGACTTCGGCTTCCAGCGCTTGGATGACGCTGTGTGAGTCAGTTAATACGGGGATCGGTTGATCTGCCGGAGTGATGGCTGCGTCTAGAATAGCTGCGGCTTCAGCGGAAAGGATGGAACACTCCTCCGGTAGACTTTGACTCGTTGCAGTGTTCGGTCCTGCCACTCCGAGTCCAACTCCAGCCCGCGACCGCGATCCGTCCGTAAAACTATGAACGTGCCCCGGATAAACCGACCCGAGAAGTTCTGCAACAGAACGTCTCAAAGCTACAGAGTTATTCCCGGTTTGGAATCCACTCTTAATCCGCTTATCTATTTTGACGACGTTTGATCGCCAACTCTTCTCTCCATGCCAGTGGACCCTGGCCACCGGGGGGAGGTCACGGTTGGCTGCAGTGTGGAGGGCTCTGTTCCCCTCGTTGAGGAGAAAGACCCTTTCATTCCCGGATGTCTTAGCAGCGAGGGCAGTGGCTTTCGTAGCAATGGCTGCAGCAGATCGATAGCGGAAATGGAGGATTCCGATTTCCACACATGCGGCTTCTGCAGGCGTGGAAGGGAAAAGGCCGGATACGATGCGTACGTCGGTATTGTATACCAGAGCGAGGGTGTGGTTGAGCTTCTCGGTGGCTAAGGCTAAGCAGGTTATTTCGAGGCCGTAGAAAAGTCGACTGTCGATAACAGCCCGAGCGACACGAAGGCGGATCTCATGGTTGCTGGAGCGATGCGGGCGGGAGATTGTCCTGACTATGTTGGTGCGGCTACGACAGTTTTCTTTCGCCATCCTGAAGTGCTGGTTGAAGCTTAGGGTGCGAACACGCACTGTTTTCTTGAGCGGAATCGGGTGAACTTGGATGGTGATCGGTGGTCCTCGTATCAGATGGCCCGAGTGAAAGATATGGCACCGTACACTCTACGGAGCGGAGAGATGGAAACCAACCGAAAGCGCCCTCCTGCTGACGGCGGAGACTGCTGCTTGAGCTATGTTCCTGGCCCGCTTAGTCGTTCGTCCCGCTACGACGATGAGTATGTCGTCGGCATAAATGATTACGTGTACGTTCTTGGACAATCGGCTGAATACCTCGTTCATTACCACCAGGAATAGCGTTACCGCTATGACAGACCCCTGGGGCACTCCGGTTTCTTCGGGGAACGGATCCGAGCGAGTGTTCCCGACGGTCACCTGGAAGGTACGATCAGGAAACTGGAATTGACCGAAAGGTCTCTGTTCGAGCAAGAACTTTGCTGTTCACCGAAGGACTTACTTTGCTACAAGAAGCAGCCCCCGAAAATGATCAAAGTCCGCTGTGCACAGAGACAAAATCACTTACCAGGGACTTTGGTCGCCACAATTCCCGCTTCCGTCCAGGAAGCACCAACATTTTTCAAGGGTAGGTCACTTAAACTCGTCGACCTTTTCACTATGGTCCAGCTGAGATGATCTAC